TAACTCCAGGGTAAACATAGCAACTGCAACTGCACACGCTTACCCTGGAGTTAAAAATAAAACCAACCCAGAGGTGACCCGCTATTATGTGCCCGCTAGGGAGAAACCGGCCCTAGGTGGTATTTATTTATGCTAATCCACCTGCAAACTGAACAATTTCTAATGCACGGGCCTCGTAAATCAGGCTATATACAAAGAAAAACGGCTTTCGGGCTTCAAATTCATAAAATATAATATTATATACAAAACACAACTTTTTATTTACTTTTTACACTTTTCCAAACTTTCCCGCTCTCCGTTGTTTATATTTTTTTCTTCTAACCGGTCAACGTAACCATATCGCCGAGGCGGTTAGAGAAATGACATACCGTTTTCTAACCCGGTTACAAAGTGACATCTTCGATGCCACTCGAATTTGAGCGGTTTGTTAAACCGGAGCCACGTGAAAAGGATTTTTGCGATTGTTCTGCTCAATGAACTATAGCTAAAAACTGGAATGCGCACACATTGCCATATCTGCCAAAAAAATGAAGCCATGAAAGACAGATGCCACAAGGGGGAATGTTGTTTTTTTCTGTTGCTCGCTGACATATGACGTTTTCGAAAGTTTTGTCATATTTCCCTTCACAGGTTTCATCAATTGGAATACGTGTTGGAAGCAATTTTCGCCATTTAACATAATGAGTGCGACAAAAACAGGTATCCCCTCCGCAGTACAGTGACTTTATTACTACAGTGGCGACAATTGCTGTCTTATTTTTGATTGGTTATAAAATCCCATATATTTATATTGAAAACGCCGCCATCTTGTTCCCAACCTCTTGTTACTTTTAAATATGAATATATGGGATTTAGGTGAACATCCATCATAAATCATGGAAAACAACGTATTTGATGGACCTAATCATGGTCATCAAATACGTCGATTTCAATTTTTTATGATAGATGTCCATTTAAATCCTATATATTAATATTTAAAAGTAACAAGAGGTTGGGAACAAGATGGCGGCGGGATCTCTATTGTCGCCACTGTATGTAAAGGTTTATTTAGCCACTGTACTCCGCAGCAGCCGCACTAGGCTTCAAGTTCGTCCTTATGTGTTAGCATTCCAGTTTTTGGTTATAGTTCATTGGTTCTGCTGATGCTACGTTGAATTTGTGTTGAAACAATAACCCTTTTCACGTGGCTCCGGTTTAACAAACCGCAACATACCGCTCAAATTCGAGTGGTAGGTATCCATCACGTTACTTCGTAACCGGGTTAGCAAACGGTAAGTCATTTCTCTAACCGTTTTGTATCCCGGTTAGTTAAACCGGAGACACGTGAAAAGAACAATTGGTTGAAACCAAACACGTTTTGCATACGGTCGCCATTTTTGCAAGCATAAAGCCTAGTACTCATAACTGCGAAATTCGCACATTTTTGACATTGCTTCGACAAATTGACGTTTTATGCGTGAATCAAACGTCAAATTGTCGAAGCAATGTCAAAAAAGTGCGAAATTCGCAGTTATGAGTACTAGGCTTAATTCAAGGTTTATAATTTCCAACACTGTAGCCCTTCTCACGTGGCTCTGGTTTAACAAACCACACACAGCGAATCGTTTTGTTTTGGGGTTCAGTGGATCAGTGATCCAATGTAACCCACAATGATCCACTGTGATCCGCTAAGCTCGAAACTAGCTAGAAAGTAAATGCCTCGCAACAGGGAAAGAAAAACTACCATCGGATTCCGAAGCGAACAACAGATGCAAAACGCTGAGAAACGCTCTAAGACTTTAAGGCTTATATATCGGATGGTCAGAAAATAAGGGCTACTGCAAGTAGGGTTGCCAGGCGTCACGCATTGCGTGATTGTCACGCAGTGGCGGATTTAGAGGGGGGCGCGCGCCCCCCCCTATTGAGCGACGCAACAACGAAATTTTTAACGAAAACACAAACATATTCATCAAGCATTATCCAACATGAAATTCCATATGGTTTTTGCTATTTTTCCAAATTTTTAATACTTTTAAATACGTTTGGCAGCAGCGAGCTGGGAGCGAATCGACTGCGGATGACGTAAATCCGCACCAACTTTGAATTTAATCTATAATTGAAAATTCCAATTAAATTTAATCTCCGATTAAATTAAATGTTGATGTCAAATGATAGTTTATGAAAATCTAAGATAGGAATGTGAAATCGGTTTTCCTCTGAAATTAACCGATCAGGTTTTACAGCCTGTCAAAGTTACAAAAAGTCAATGTTCAACTGTCAATATTTCCAAAACAGTTGAACTTAGGTATAGGGTATATCACATGAAATCTGCTCAGAATTTTACGTAGAATCCAAATATGCAATCACATACAGGGTGTTTTATTTGAAAAAAAGAAAGTTGGTCTAGATAGCAAACAAACCAGAAGTGACACAGGCAATACGTTTAAGTAGAATTGTGGGAAATATTAGGGACATAAAGCTACTTGAAATAATTCATCGGTATCGGTATCCGTAACGCAACTAGATACGTTGACAAGCGAAAAGGCTGTTAAAGCGCTCCCTGTTCCGGTAAACGTAAACGCATTTCATAACCTAGACATTTTTGTCTCAAAACTTCGGCGTTTTTATATCTAACCTTAAAATTGTTATTTTTTTTTGCGATAGAGAAGCACTAAACACAAGAAACTCAAGAAAGTAAAAACTAAACAAATTAAATCAACCCGGAAGAAAAGGGAGGTTATATTCATTTAAAATTTGACACATGCGTCAGGAATGTCAAGATACGTTACCGATACGGATACCGCGAGAGGGCCGTAACGTTACGTTGTACGTACGGTATCTCGGCCTCCGTATCGCTTCTGCACATGCGCAGTACGATACCGATACGGATACCGAGCAAAAAATACGGAAGCTTTATGTCCCTAATTTACTGAGCAACTTTCATTAAGGTCACTTTTTCGAGGTAATTAGAAAGTTACAGGTATTATACGCGACTTTTTTGCCACTCTGTATATTTAAGTCGTTTTTTTATTATTTCTTATCTGAGCCTGAGGCCCTGATGGATCGCCCCCCCCTAGAAGGAATCCTAAATCCGCCGCTGTTGTCACGATTTTTTAATGGTTGTCACACATCACGCCTAAGTATGCGCGTGACACGCTTTTTCATAATTCCATGTAAACGCTTTCTAAATAAATTATTTATTAGTTGAAAATAGACTTGCCTCAGACCTTAATATACAGGGTGTTTGGTACATCGATAGGAATATTTCAATGAGTGAGAGTTGGGGTTATTTGGAAGCTGTTTAACCACATTTACCCTAATGAAAAATTGTTTGTCTGCCGTTTTTTGAGATTCCTATATACATTATTCTCATTTACGCCGGAAATAAAAGATTTACCCCCACTGAAAATGACCAAATTCCTTGTGCGTGGAATAGAACTAGAACTAATAAAAAAATTGATAAGTCCCCCTCTCCTGTCGTCACGCTTTTCTCTCTCGTAAATCTGGCAACCCTAGTTGCAAGAACCACTCATATCCCATACACAACTTTAAACAGGTATTACAACAATATCCGGAATAACCCTGATCCTGAGAAAAATTATATTACACCTAATTAAGCAGTTCGTAAGATAGAAATCTGCCAAATAAGAACAAAGGCAAGTCTCCAAGGTCACTAGCGCAGAACGAGGGACGTTAGTACCAACTTGTTTCTTGTTACATAAGTTGCGCTTTGGGGAATGCATTGCCGCCAGTAATATTTCCTAGACTGCATTCCCATTTCAAGCAACATGATCGCGGACGCTTCGGCTAGAACCTTATGCGCTTAGGCCTAGTTACGCAATGTGGCTGGATAAACTCACAATCTTTGCTAAGTTTTGTATGATCTGGTAGAAATAAATGAGTTATAGTATGAAAACAATGATCTTTTACTGTATTTATTTCCATATATCCAGTGTGCCCCAGTTGATTCACTGTTCCCCGTGCACCGATCCAAACTGACCCACTCCTGGGCCACATTGGATCTTTTACGAACTTTCATTTCAAAGGCTATATGTCGAAAATTTATGTTATATTCGCCATCAAATCACTTTTTCTGTTAAGTTACATACTCATAGTACAACTAATTTGAGAAAACAGTGATATAGCGATAAGTTTTGGAACTGTATGAGTTGGAAAAAAAAAATGATCCACTGTTACCCACTCTCCCCTAAACCGTAAAACACGGATAAATCCAAAAAATCCCCCCGGACGACTCTAAAACTAGGACAAATCCGGGGAAATCCGGACGGATGGTAGCCCTAAGTGCAGTGCTAGTGCGGTGTTCGTGTAGTGCAGTGCTACATCACGTGATCAAGGTGTAATTGGAGGTGTAACACCGAATACACCATCATTTTGTGCCGAGTAAACGGTGTCCCACCATCTTCACACCATTATCGCGGCCTCGTTTTTGGTAATTGCCGCCATATTGGTGTGTCACCATTTCCGACGTCATAACTAAGTCGTCAGCTGTTTTCACTTTGCACTAGCGGTCGTAGTCGTCGTAGTTTAGAATTTAAATTTATGATGAAAAATATGATTTAATTTTGATTAACCTAATGGGCAAAGAGGAAGATGAAAACGAGATCTAAAAAAGAATTGTTTTAGAATGTTAATTAATGTAGTAAAAACAAGTGTTTATGAAGCAAAACCCCGCGGAATCATAACCTGTAGTGCAAACAGCCTACGTCAAGGCGAGAAACGACATGCTGTTACGTCACAACTGGTGATTCGGCGTGATGGAGGCATCAGATTTGATCCACACAGGCCTTATGAGAATAGGCGATAGTAGTAGTGTGTCATAAGCCGCTTTCCAGCTGTTTGCTTCAAGCACGGTGCAGCACAGTGTTCTGTGTTTGAAACGCCAAAGTTAGCAGCTCTCGAAGCGCAGTACGGCTGGAACACGAACACGCGCTTGGAGCATTTGCGCGCGCAAAAGCTCGATTGCGTGCTCAAAATGGTCAGCTGGAAAGCGGCTTTATATAATAATAATAATAATAATAATAATAAATCGTCTTTATTCAGCAAATTCTTTACAAAAATTTGCCCCAAGAAGGCGAAGATTAGCTTTAAGCTATTCTTTAACTCTTAACCTTCTTAGTTTACATTATAAGAACAAATATATAAATAAAATAACATTTAATTTAACATCTTATGCAAGAAAAGGAAAAAAAAAAAAGAGAAGGAGAAAATTCTATGCCAGTGCTTAAAGATATAAATTGGAAATAAATATCGAAACAAAACAGTAATAAAATAATATGAATAAATGAAACAAAAGAATCAAAACAAAAAAAAAAACAAAAAACATCCCAGCATCACTACGCAACCTGTGCTTCCATTAGTATAGTTTTTATCATTTTTCTTAATGAATTAAGAGACAAAGTCAATAAATCAGGTTTATATTTATTGTAAAGACTTACAGCGTTATATGTGAAAGATCGTTCGAATAGGGCAGTAGAGTGGTGTGGAATCGTAAGCATTTAGTGTGTATTATCCTTGAGTACCCCCTTCACAAGTCATCTGACGTATGAAATGTCAAATTTGTTTTGATTTTTTTGAAAAAAAATTAAATTTGTTTTGTAACCGGCGAACCGCCTTTCTTTCTCTTTCATTATTTTTATCCAGCTACTGACCGTGGCTGTTTTGTGCTCAAAATGTCTGCATCTGCTGAATGTAGCCTCAAAAAAGATGAAGACCCGAAAGTCCATGTGATTCTGGAAGGACACAAACAACCACTGACAAGTATAAGCTTCAACCCTAACGGGCAACAATTTGCTACCAGTTCTCAAGATAAGGGTATCATGATATGGACAAAATGGTCTGAAGAAAAGCAAACGGGGCCCAACTATCGATACGCAGGACACGGTGACGTTGTCACTTGCTTGGACTATTCCTCAAATTGTAAGCTACTGGCATCTTGCTCAAAAGATGAAACGGTAAGGCTGTGGGCACCGACAATTATGGGAAAATCCGATGTGTTTAAAGCTCACACTTCATCAGTGAATACAGTAAATTTTTCCCCTGACAGCACAAAACTACTTACCGGCTCCCACGATAAATCCCTTAAAATGTGGGATGTTGAATCTAAACAGTTTATTTGTAGCTTTTTGGGGCATAACAACTGGGTTCGTTGTGCAAAATTCTCTCCTCTGAGCAACCTAATAGCTTCTTGCTCTGATGACCGTACAACAAGAATTTGGGACACCATCAGTGGAGAATTGATCCACACTTTTGTAGGCAGTAAGGGGAGTCCGAACTATGTTGCCATGCATAGCAATAACAACACCATTGCAGTGGCTCTAAACAATGGGTCCGTAAAAATTTTCGACATCCGCAACAAAAAATTGCAACAATATTATGAGTTGCATGATAATACAACTTGCCTGGATTGGCATCCAAGGGCTAAGTATTTGCTGACTAGTGGACGAGATGGAAAGTTGAGGATTATTGATATAATGGAAGGAAGGCCTTTGTATACTTTAAGTGATAACGGGGGTGTTATTACATGTAAATTTAGTCAGGATGGGGCATATTTTGCTTCCGGGGTTGATAGGACTGTGGTTGTTTGGAAAACGAATTTTTTGAGTTAGTTCAGATTTTTGTCATAAGTTCATTTATTATTCAGTATTTTGTTTTAATGATGAAAATAATTTCAGTAAACTATTTATAGACAATGTTTAAGTTGTTTAACATGTACTGAGATCTGTACCTATACCTAATTATGTGTAAAAAAATTGGGTAGGTATCAATAAATTTTTTAGAATTAGAATATAAATATGTAGTTTTTTTTGTCTTGTTCCTAGATCATTTAATATCCTTAGAGAAATTTCATCATCATCAAAAGCCTGTTTTCATTCATTGAACTGCATCAACAAGATATTCAAAAAAGCTTTTTCAGAGGTTGCAACAGCCAAATCTGTGTGATTTGCCTAGTTGACTTTAGAAGATTATTCAAGGAGGCTGTCAAATAGTGGATAATATTCTATTTCATATTCAGATAGTATCCTTTATCATGAAATATATGAGAATTTCAGAGATTGTTAGAAGGCTTCCTCACTTTACGTACTTTCCAAGTATGGGTGGATTCTTTACTTTCAAACAAGTGCAAAGTACACAGCAGTGTTCCTCGGGGATCCCAAATTCAATTATTTCTATGAACAAACAGGAATAACATCAGTAACAAAACAACAAGACCTAAGAGTCAGTGTTTAACATCTGACCTAAAATCGCGAGGGGGAGGTCACTTCCAAAATTGTATTCACCTAATTATAAATACAAATAAATTTGCAGGTATTCATGTATTCAAGGATTAATTTGTATTTAATCATCATTCTTTACAATAATAATAACATTAGTTAGATAAATAACTATTTTGTCATATTCAAAGACGTCTGTAAATAAATAAATAAAATAAATAAATTCTTTATTTACGGACATGCCATTTTTACAAAGGTAGACTTAAAGTGTAGGTACACGCAATAATAAATATTTGGAATAACAAGTAGGCAACAGACAAGTTATAAGACATCTCGTTGTAGACGTTTTTAGAACGTCTTGGAAAAATATAATAAAGACGTTTTTATGCAGACGTTGAGTTTTGCGACATACAGCGCGTCTTCAAGATGCCTTGAACACCTAAGCAGACATCTAAAAAACTTCTTGAGAATGTCGTTTGTGGACATCTTAGAGACGTTTTTAAGATGTCTACAAAAGGTTTTCACAGAATTCGTTTCTCATTCAATTTAGAAGTTATTGAAAACCCATGTGAAATATAAACACTCTAGAACTCAAATCAGCCGTTTGGAAAGTTCAACTCCTAAAATTCAATTCAGAATTTATCTTCTGCGAATTGTTCTTAAATTCTTTCTGTTAATATAGATAGGTTTTTGAATGTTCTGGAACATTCTATAAAATAGTTCTGAAGTTTCCAGTAGGTATCCAAAACAGTTCAAATCCAAATTTTCAAGAGCATTTTGGAAATATTTATAGAAACTTTCATTCAGAGTTATTTCAGAACAATAAGTAGGATTAGGATTCAATTTTGGGTATAAGCTAATTCGTCTTATCACTCCCTCTATGTGTCTTGTAGGTTTGGTCCGGTCTGTATGATTGGCTTGGCAAATTACTTTTTGAGGGGGATTTACGGGGTTAAAACTTATTTATCGATTATCGAAAAAAGGATTTTTGTGAAAATATGGACATTTCCACCCTAGTCTCCTGTACAAATGGTACTGGAAGTTTTGCGATTCATTAAAAAAAGGGTTTTTGTGAAAATCTGGACATTTCCACCATAGTTTCGGGTAGAATAATGGTACTGGAAGTTATAAGCAATATCAAATATTCACCATTTAGGGAACCTTATTTATGATTCGCTTCAAATGATAATTTCTATGCACAAATACGGGTCTACAATCAATTCCCTCAACATTTCTAAAGTTGGGACTTTTACCATCATTGGAAAGTTGCTTTAGGAGCAATCAAGAACCAATAATAGTCCAAATTACCGGCTCTCGATTCATTGAAAAATTGCTCTAGTGGCAATCAAGAGTCGGTATAATTCAAATTATGATTTTCTCTGGGATCTTATTGATTTACTGAGGAACTGTTTGGACTATTCTCTGGTTTCCGATTCGCTGGAAAATGGCTCTAATAGCGGCAATCAAGAGCCAGTGATAGTCCATATTTTGATTATAATCTGCTCTTGGCTATCACTGTAGCATTTTCTAGTGAATTCTGAGCCAGTAATATTCAAAATTTTAACTATTACCAGCACTCGATTCGTTGGAAAATTCAGAAAGCTGGGATTTTTACCAGTTCTCCATTCACTAGAAAATTGCTCTATAGGAGTAATCAAGAACAAATATAATACCTATAACCCAGATTACCGGCTCTCGATTCATTGGAAAATTGCTCTAGTGGCAATCAAGAATCGGTATACTTAATTCAAATTATGATTTTCTCTGGATCTTGATTCACTGGGAAAATGTTTGGAGTATTTTCTGGTTTCCGATTCGCTGGGAAATTGCAGTAGCAATCAAGAGCCGGCAATAGTCCATATTTTGATTGTTATCAGCTCTTATTGGCTGTCCTTGTAGCAATATTTTTCATTGAATCCAGAGGCAGTAATATTCAAAACAATTAAACCTAGAATTATTACCGGCTCTCGATTCCAAAAAAAAGGGCCCTCGATGGCCCCGTCTACAAATCTGTAAAGTAACCTGTGAGAGTGAGCCCTCAAAATGCAAAATGTGGATAATACTGTTTCTATATCTTGTTTCGAAACACAAAAACATCATCGAGAATAAAAGAAAGCATACTAAGTTTCTTTTATTCTCGGTGTCAGATAAAAACCAAGCTTCTGGTTCAAAATTACCGAGGAATTTAACATTCTGTTCTGTGCTCAAATAATGTTTTTAGGCCTGCTGATTCTCTATAAAATTTCTATAAAAACCTGAAAGAAGATTTGTGGAAAACGGCTGGTGAAGGAAAAAATCAATTTATAAAACTGGAGGAGGACCACTATCTCATCCCAAGCAAAAAATTTGCTGATGATATCCTCTAAAGTAAGGGAGTTTTAACAGAAAAAGTTTTGTGTGGTCTTTTTCCTTAGCCGAAACCTAAAAACAGTTAAATTGTCCATTTTTTTCACCTTTCCATAAGTTATTTGTTTTTGATAATATCGAAAACATCTAAATCATCCGCTGCAAATTCCACTATATTTTGTAAAAATAATCCAAATATTACTATATATTCGCCACATACAGAAAACTGTACTTTGTGCGGTCCTTTACATTCCTTACCTCTGTCTTGTGATATTCAATCGTACGCAAAGGGAAAGATCACATTTTTCTCACTATAGTAGGTACTTGCACTATTATTTTATACTTAGGTGTGGGTAGTGCCACAAATTTTCTAGGAATTCCAAAAAACCCAGATATCGGTTGTTGTACTATTACCAAATATTCTAAAATGTTTTAGTTCAAAGTACATTGGCCTCAATTCATAGGTATAAAAAGTCTACGATTTGAAACAGATTGAGAGCGAATAGGGAATCTCCAGAAGATAGGGATGCCAAATAATTTTCAAACCTAAAGAAAACTGACAATGGATCGCCAGCAAACTGGAGAAAAAATAAAACAGGAACAAGAAGATTCGCAGAATATGACTGATAATCCAGAAGGTCAGACGCTGTATAGATTCCTCTACGATAAAAAATAGGTACCTACCCACTAGAAATTGTATGAATTAAATAAACAAAATTTTTATGATATTTCCAGACTAAATGCTTTTGTATACATAAAGCTCATAGTTTGTAAGTTAGGCAGTCAGTTTATGTAAGAGAATTGTGATTTAAGCTTTAATAAGTTTTCAATTTTTTGAAATTTTATATAGATCCACCCAATACCAATGATTTTATACATGAACGACAACGAATAAGCATTATTGAAGAGCACCATATAAAGGGTTCAGTCCAAAAATGAAGGTGGATGAGATTTCAAATTAGAGTATAACCAGCTTACATTAAAATCACAAATAGGCATTCCTATTATCATAAACACTAAAATATTTTATTAACAAAAAATATTACAAACAGACTCTTTTACGCAAAAAAAAACTAACACAAATACCAATAAAAACTAACTACACTAATAAAGTAGAATTCATTTTACTTGTAATTTCATCCTCTGACCTATCACCACCACTAAAGGAACAATGCGATTGAAATATGTGTTCTAACTGTCCTAAACTCTCCCCCAAAAACATAGCGCAAGCTGCAAAGTCTTTATTATTACCATCATTGAATGATCTCTTTTTGTAAACTTTCAACGAACTGAAATCGGAATGAGATTCACCGACTGGCACCAAAGAGACTTTTTCTTGATCTATGAATCCTTTGGTTATAACAAACGGATGATCAATGTTGGGTTTGTCAGGTATTTTTAAAGCGGGTAGCACTTCACCGCCTATTTTAAAGTCCAAATCGAGTTTCTTGTTTTCTAGGGTTTCTTCAATTGTGGCCAAAATTGGATCTTGCGTCAATTTATTGTTTTCCGCTTCTGTCCTCATTGAACAATTATTATTTTTAATATCACATTTATCTTCTTCAGTCTCAACACTTGTCAATTCATTTTCTATATTTTTAGAATCAACATCCTTATAATTATTTTGCCTTATATCACAATGGTTTTTATTATTACTTCTGTTGCTCCATCTAATTGCCTGTTTTTTCTTATAGTACGGCCAGTAGGTATCTCGTTCGAATAAATAATTTGCTGCTTTTTCGTACGATTTTAAAATGTTTCTGTAGATTTGTTGTGTACGTCGCAATAAGTCTCCGTCGTCCTCTTCTTCTCCATACATTTCTTCAATGCTGGAAAGTTTTGGAGCGGATTTTGAACATTCTAGTGGTGGTCTGAAATAAACGAGTAGATATAGAATATAAAAGAGTTGATAAAATGTGTGTTTTACCTATAATTATGTGTTCCAGTACCTAACAAAATCTTTCTTCTTGGCAAACTAGGATTCTCTTGGACTGAATTCACCAAACTCAACCGAGCATTTTGCCTGGACAACTTTTCCTTTTTGAAATCAGTCAGGGCTTGCAACAAAAACTCCTTCAGTTCCTTATGGATCTGCCTGGCCATGTCTGTAGAAGAACACAAGGCTGCGTGGCACCTCAATTCATGTCGCAGCCTACGGCCCTCGTGCCTGTAGATCCAACAGAATATCCTGGGGAATTCTTCAGGAGCGGCGCAAGTGGTCAAGCGGTGGGCCCAGTATTCTGTTAAGCCGTGGTTTTTGGTTACAGCTTTCAGGCCACCGCCTGAGACTGTTAGGTGCATGTTGACGTCGGGACGTGATGATTGAATGTAGTTACGCCAGAGGGTTGCTAAGGGTTTTTCTATGCATCCATCACCTGTGAAAGAATGAAGGAATTAGAGAATTTAGAATCAATGACATAAGTATATAGATGAGCTTTTGGGTCTATTAAGTGTTGATGTAATACATCAAATCAAATCAAAATATGCTTTATTGTCATAAAATCAAGTTTTGTTTACAAAGCTAATAAAAAAAAATGTATTACATAAGTATAAGTGCAATAATAAAAGGTCAAAATAGATTCAAACATTACAGGTCCTAAGGTCAACACACAAAATATAATAATACAAAACAAACAAACACAACTAAGTCTAAGTCTAACACGAATATTGGTAAACTTCAAAAAAAAGATAAAATTTTAATTTTAAAAAGCAACGGATGAACAAGAGAGACCAAATCAATACTCAACAGAAAGTAGGAAGTAAAACGGTTTAAAAATACAATAAAACTTATAATTATTAAAAATCATACAAATAGTCAAATTGAAATACTATACAAAAAATACAATAATATATTCCAAATAAGTTAAAAAGTGTCACCATAGTATTCTCCCAACTCATAATATGTCCTCTCCACCAAAAGTCTTTTAACGGAGTTCAATAAATTGCCTGAGGGTAGGATAAACCTTTATATAGTCAGTAGGTGGTTAAAATGACCGGGCATTGGTAATACATCCCTACGCTTATAAATCATACAGACCGTTTCCAAAATAAACAATGATGTAGGAGTTTTTTTAGATTTGAATAGAGGCCTGCATGATTTTCTACTATTTACGTTACACATATAACGAATGGCACGTTTCTGTAGAACAAAAATAGGATGTACTAGGTTATTGCTCGCATTTCCCCAAAATACAATACCATAACGCAAATGAGATTCTACCAAAACATAGTAGTCAAAATGTAAAGACTTATCAATAAAAACTCCCAAAAACCTAGTTCCAGGCTTAGCCAAAAGACGATTCCCGCCAAGATAAAGAGTATTTAAATTACAATGAAAATTTAGAATAGGGGTCTTCTCAACATTCAGGGTCAGCAAGTTAGCATCGCACCACTGTTTAATTTTGGGAAGATTTGAAGAAACCTTTTCCTCTAACGCATCAACGGTTGAATCACGCCATAATATAGTGGTGTCATCTGCAAATAATGTGAACTGACCCTCAATATTGACAAAAGCAAAATCATTTATATATATTAAAAAGAAAAGAGGGCCTAGTACTGTGCCCTGAGGAACCCCATGCTTGACCTTATTGGCCTGAGATATTTGAGAACCAAAGATGACTTTCTGAGAGCGCCCTTCAAGATAGGAGCGAAACCAGTCCAAAACCTGAAGCTTGCACAGTAGAATTCCATGACTGACACAATCAAAAGCTTTTGATAAGTCACAGAAGACCGCTACGAGAGCCTCACCGGCATTAAAACCAAAGTAGATTTCCTCTGAAAATTTATATGTATATATATTGCATCATCAGTACTTTTCTTAGTTTGGAAACCAAACTGATCTAAAATTAGTATCTGATGATAGTTTAAAAATGACAAAACCCGCGTTTTAACCAACTTTTCGACAATTTTCGAAAGGGTTGATAATAGAGAAACTGGCCTGAAGTTTTGAGGTTCATCCAGATTCCCACCCTTATGCAGAGGAATAACACTTGCAGTCTTCAAAGTATCTGGAAATTTTCCGATTTTCCAGGCATAATTAATCGCTTCTGAAAGGGCATCAAGTGTAGGTTGAGGAAGAACAAGAAATATTTTCAATGATATGCCGTCTTCACGTCAGGAACAGACACCAATGCAATGTTTTGTATTTTTACAGTTATTAATTTTTTTTTTCTGCTTTCTTGTCAGAAACCACCACTGTGGTTTGTCGACAAAGCCTCTAACATCAGACACAAACCAAATCAAACAAACAAACAAACATCCATGCACCTAGCCGGGATTCGAACCCGAGACCCACAGCATGCAAAGCGAAAACACAACCGCTGAGCTGCTTGGGTCTGCAACGTTGGTGTAAGATGGTGTGTAACCATTTTTAAAGTCATTTATACCACCAAGAACAAGCACTAGGTCCTCGAAGTTCAAGTTCTTCGATAAATTGCTAATGTCCTCCACTATAGAAGTAAATGTTGCACCAGGTTTAATAATTGTTTGAATTTTTGCATCGTTATTCAATCTTTGTGCCAATATTCTACCGAGATTTCGACCCTGTTGATCACATAGAATAAGTATTCTTTTCATTCCTAAAAGGTTCGTGGTTTGCTTCCTTTCTTGACTTGACAAGTTTGTTCTGGACTTTTAAAGTACAAACATTATTTGTTGTTGTTGGTTGTGTCAGTTTGGCCACCTCACCTCTAAGCATACTTAGTTCTTGATTGTAATAAGTATTTTGGGCCTCTAGGGTTTCAATAGAAGTTAGCAATAGCATTTCATTCTTAATTTTATTAAAGTCCTCAGCTTCCTCCTTTAGTATCTTACAGTTTACTTGATAGCAGGTAATTTTCTTTGCCAGCTCCTCTCTAACTTTAGACACTGCATCAGTCATTACTTCACAGTTGACGGTTTCAATCTGAGTGGATTTTCCAGCCAATTGTTTTAAGGCACAGGAATTCTTAATAATAGATTTAGAATATCAGATGAGAGTAGGTACCTTATTTTCTGCATCCAGTGTTTGAATTGTTGTTAACGTGGACTTTTTTTGTTTCATCCAGATCCTTTAAACTAGTGCTTGCCACCTCTAAGTCTCTAGTGCATTTTTCCAAGGCTTTTTCCAGTGTCATATTCTCTTCCCTTAGTTTAGTTAACTTTTGTTTTAGCTGAGAAACATTTTGCTCATAGTCTTTTATCTTTTTTTCATAATCACTTTCGATTTCACATGCACTGTTTTCTAGATCCAATGATAATTTTCTTTGCTTTCGTATGTAAGAGTCTTTCTGGATTAGATCGACCTTTAACTTTTCTAATTGTTCCTTATACGTACTTACTGCATTATCATTTTCGCTATCCTCAGCCTCACATGTTGAGGAGCAATAGACCCTATGTCCTGTTAAAAGGACGTGATGTCTTCCTAGACAGCTTGGGTGAAAAGCATTGACGCATCCCACGCAAACAAGGTGTTTGAAGGGTTTGAGGCCACATTTAAATTGGCTATTCATTATTTCAAATTTTCAAACACAACAAATAATTAAAATAATATTAAACAGATACGAGTCAGTCCAGATCTTAAATAGCTCCCAATATAATAAATATTTTGTTTTGATTTAAGTAAACATCCACTGGCACTGGGTACAATTGTTTCCCAGCCAGCACAGACACATATCCGCGATGTAAAGTTACGTAAAATTCGGGATGTTAAACCTCTCATGCGATGTACTTTGTAAATCACATGGATAGCTCTGCGATAGCCGAATTTCCGCAACTGCGCTCCAGAAAATTACATTCAGGGTATGACTCAAATATAATATCATCGGGGTATTTTACGAGAATATTGAAGATACATGCTTTATAACATGTAACGGGTATGTAACAACGCAATACCTATGAGACATAGATCTGTAACATCCCTTGTATTTTGTATTCGGTATATCCTGCATATATTATTATTTAATGTTGATTTTACATGACATTGTTACATAAAAAGTACCTATGTTAGTTTTTTTGGTTAGGTATAAAATAAAATACAAAATATATGAAAAAAACTTTTTATTATATTGAAAATTCAAGTTAACTTTCTATTGATCAATAATAAGAAAATGAAAAACAAAACATACCTTTCAATTATTTGTTAGGTATAGGGGTAGAGGGTACGTAGGTATGATTGTCCAAGCTCTAAAGGCAAAATCACATCGCAGATGGCAATTCACAAATTTCTGGATGTAATTTTCCAATTGAAACAAGCACCACTTCATAATCAACATCTATTTTTTTCTTCTCTCATGCGTCCCTGCTTTGCTTGTCGCAGTCACTCGAACACCATGGTCTTAAGCTCCATCCTCTGTGCTCTGTGTAGCATTTGGTTTAGTGATGCATCATCTTAAATACAAAAAATTAATTTTCATTTATCAGGCAAAACATGTTTTGAATTGTAAAATATTTATCGATCGTTACCAAATATACTTACCATAGGTTCCAACAAATTCGTATGCAGCACTAATCCCAGTTCATAACAAAAATTAAAAATACCTACTTATAATTTTCAAACATAAAAGGAAAATATGAAGGGCGTAGTAGTTGATGTGGATTTCGGAAATAGCAAGTAACAACTGAACAAACAAAACAGAGTCAAAACAACAGACAACGGCATAAGAAAATGGCTTCAGTTCAGTCCATTTTTATAATCAACAGAATAATAGAACCGAATAGCGGAAGTGTTGCCAACTCGCTGATACGAGAAATCCCTATAGGACAGTAGAGTATTGTAAATATCTCTAGAACTAGGGGTACATTCAGTAGTCTGGCATCACTGTATTAAAAACAAATATTAAAACATTCATGTGTCACAGAAGAGCGCCAAAATAGTTGAATTGTATGTACTTAGTACATAATATTGCAATATTGGTAATATATCACAAAGTTACATTAATGGCACATGAATATTTTGTCTTTTGGTATCACAAAGTTACATTATTGGTACATGAATATTTGTCTTTTGGTTGAACATACCATGGTGCCATATCGATTATATACATTGAACGTAACAAATTAATTTCGCAATATAACAAAAATAGTATGTTTCATGTATATTGATGGCGAGTTACAAGAAAATATACCCATGTTGACAGAAAAAATACATCGCGAGACATCACGGGATGTAACGTGCTGGCTGGGTTATATTTACGGTATTTGTTTATTCAAGACTGGTTTTTATTTTTTAGGTAAGACAGTCAAAAACTAAAGCAGAATTTTCCCAACTTCACGTAATATTGCTTTAAAAAACATATCAAATTCGTTTAGAAAACGCTAACACATCCCAAATTCGCGAAAACCCGGAATTTTTTCGATACTTTTCAACGCAAAAACGACGGTTTAGCAGGAGCAAAATAAAACACGTTCACGAATATTCGAACCTCTTGAATCAATTCAAATAGGATTTAAGCTTATGGTGAAGCAGGAGATTTCTGAATGGATGGCGTTTATAGGCTGGGGAGTGTTAGATGTGGAATCATTCAGTGACCACAGATACATCTTTTTCGCTGTAGACAATGGGAGAAGCACAATGCAAAACACCGCACCCAAGCACAGATGGAACACCAAAAAATTGAACTTGCTGAAATTCAACGAAGCGGTTGTCGCAGCGGCGCTAAACTCCCCTCCGGAGACCCCCGAAGGCCTCAATGTACCGGTGAAAAAGATTTGCAACGCCTCAATGCCCAAAAAGGAGTCTAACCCTAAGCACAAGAAGCCAGCATACTGGTGGGAACGACGATAATCTCAGAAAAACGTGCCTTCCTTACCCTGAAGAGAAAGCTCACCAGGAATAACCGCAGAGACTCCACGAGACTACCGTCAGACAGGGAAATCTACAATACAGGAAAGAATTGAAAGTGGCTTTCAGCAAGGCAAAAAAGAACTGCTGGAGAAAACTCTGCGACGACATCAACAATGACTGCTGGGGTGACGGCTATAGAATAGCGACAAGGAGGCTTAGGGTCATGACCTAAAACAGGGCACTGACGATGGAAAGATCTCTCGAAGACTGGAACCAGCGAAACTCTTGTTTACCTCCAGACCACCTACGGCTTGGGAAAAGCTAACGTGCAGTGGAGCAGATGTTCCTGAACTCACTGTAAACGAAATAATAGACGCATGTCACAAGCTGAAACCCAATAAAGCTCCAGGCACAGATGGCGTACCCGCAGAGATTCTGAAAGTCCTAGCTGAGAAAGAACCCCAAACCCTTTCTGAAAAACCTCTGCAACGCATTGAAAAACGGCGTTTTCCCTCGGAACTGGAAGATAGATAGCCTACTACTGATGGAGAAGCCCAAAAAATCGGCTCACGACACCCAGAAATTCCGTCCCCTATGCCTGCTTAACTCCTTGAACACGTCATCCTCGCGAGACTAAACATGGATCTCGACCTAACGACCACATTGAGCGAAAGGCAGTTCGGGTTCAGAAAAGGAAAATCCACCACTACGGCAATTCTGAAGGCACTAGACACGATAAGACCAGAAATCTACAAAAAAAGCCATAGACACAGGCTCATCGGCATAATGGTTACCCTGGACATCAAAAACGCCTTTAGCTCGGCACCTTGGCAAATGATCATAGGGGAGCTTAAAAGGAGAGGTGCAGTGCAATACCTGGTCAATCTCATATTCAAGACTACTATCGTCCTGGAGGCGGAAGGCCGCAAGGATACGTTCTACATGTCCTGCGGCGTCCCACAGGGCTCAGTCCTGGGACTCACCCTCTCAATTAAAGACAATTGGAGGAGGAACCATAGGGGGTGGGGGATCGGCTACGCAGACGACGTCGCTATAGTCGTCCTGGCCAGAGACATCGACGTGGCAGAAGCCAATATAGGAGCGGCAATGACCGGCATCAGGTGCTGGCTCCAAGAAAACCACCTCGAGCTATGTGAGGAGAAGACCGACGCAATTATCCTTTCCTCAAAGACAGTTGTCCCTCACAGAGACCTGAACATTATGGGCAGAATCGTTACGCCGAAGCCCGAAGTCAAATACTTAGGAGTCTGGTTGGACAACAAACTCTCCTTCGCTTCCTACATAAGGAACGTGACGACGCGGGCTGGTAATGCCATGTCCGCTCTAGCGCGGCTAATGCCCAACGTAGGAGGACCAACACCCAGCAAACGGAGGCTGCTATGTTCGGTGGCGAGGTCCATACTCCTGTATGCTGCACCGGTCTGGGGCTATATCATGAACATCAAAAAGTATCGGAACATTCACTCGAGGATACAACGTCAAGCAGCTCTCCGCATATGTAGTGCCTGTCGCACCACCCCAACAGACGCCATCTTAGTGATAGCAGAGACCCCCCCCCTATGGTCCTCCTCACCAGACAGGCCCTAACAATAGCACAGACCCCAATGCCTCTAAAAAACGCCGCCCTATCGGAGTCCAAAGAAACCACCATGGCGGAATGGCAAACCCGATGGCCAAATAGCACAAAGGGCAGATGGACGTATAGACTGATACCGAACATATCTACATGGACAAACAGGAAACACGGCGACACGGACCACTTTCTTACCCAGCTTCTGACAGGACACGGATGCTTCCGCTCATACATACACGAAATAAACAAAACGGCAGACGGCGAGTGCGAATACTGGGGAGGCAAACACGGCACAGGACACCTTTTGTCTACTGCAAGCACTGGCTAAAGCACTGCGAAGCCTGCACGAACAAGATAGGGCCCGTCTCGCCGGAGACAATCGTGGAAAAAATGATTAGCAGTCCCCTGAACTGGAACGCTGTCAAGACTTTTGCTAACGAGGTAATGAAGGAAAAAATAGGTGATGAAGACAACTTGACAACTGAATGTGAAGACATCTGAAACAATAATCGCCGTCATTCGAAGTAATGCCCTCGCAGTTCCAAATGGTAGACTGGAATTCCAGAGAGGAAAGGGTTTCAGTCTATTTTTAGGAGATTTCTGACCAAGCTCAGCTTAGATATCTCAAAGTGATTTAGCTTTGGAGTCATATTTGGTCAAATGTCACGTTGTAAAATCAAAAAACAAAAACATTCAAATAACAAAATTAACAATAAAACGCTGAATAGTTATCTAATATTCGATCAAATGATTTTATATGCGCATATTTCGAACGTTTATCGGCTTACGACAGTTTTGCAATCCCATAATTGGACAAGTTTTATTTAATTTTCGTTTTAGCAATTAAACGATAATTAATTTATTTTTATTGTGACAACATTTACACTCTGGTAGTTAATTGTTTTTAGCACTCACTGAAATACGTATAATGTTAAAGAAAAATTATGTATTCGTTGCCAATGGAAAGAATTATTATTATCATATATACATACATGTATATTATTACTAAATAATGCATGCATTGTTTCGGTAACAAAATTTTATCTACTCATATTTATGAATCAACCAAAACCCATGCATCATGAATATATTAGGTCACACTAAAATACATAAATAATAGGTAATGTAGGTGTTCTGGTATAATATTCGATTATATTTAATTATAATTAATATCAAGAGTTGTACAAAAAATGTTGTACGCAATACGTCGTCAACCTACACTTAATGGTAATGATGTTAATATGTAAATAACTATATATTATTAGATGAAGTTCTTACCTTTAGCCCATCCAGTTATAACATTACCCAAGTAAGCCACATGATAAGTCGGAAAAGGTTTGGATATAGTAGCGCTCGCGCACTTTCTCAGTCTTATTTTATTGAAAACATTTTTAAAAGTCCTTTTGTTCTCTTTTGTTAGTGCTTTACGCGGCATATCGTTCAATAATGGTATTTTTTTCATAAACTTCTCTTCGCGTATCGTTAAAACTTTGTTGTTGGTTTGCATTTGATGATGGTGGTGGTGGTCCATTATTTTTGTCGTCATTTTTTTTGCTTATTAATTAGAACTATCTGCAACAAAAACAATAATCCTCTTATTTGAAAAATACCATGTATAATCCAAAAAACAATTATTGAAATCATCAGACGGAATAACAAACAAAACATTGATGTTTTTTTTTTATTCTTCCATTAAATTTAAATACTAATAGTTTTGTATTGTCATCGTAAATTACAAGGGGCCTAATTGCCTCGATGATATGCCATCATGCAACCCGAAAAAAAAAGTTAATTTTCGATATATTGATGGAAACTTGTCCAATTTATTCTAATTAGGCGACTACATTCGGTATCAGTAAACAACCACTTAGGTACCTAGTTTTATAGGTTTTTTCAAGGGTACAAAGTGCCTATGGAGCTTTAATGGAGCATACTTTTTTAAGGAAAATTGTAAATTAATTGAATTTGAAATTTTGCCTGAATTTACAGGATTTTCCAAAACGCAATGTCGCCTTTTGTTATAGTTTTGAAAACACTCTGAGTAAATCTGAGAGATTAATTTGTACTTTGAAAAAATCTTCGCATACCTATCTTCATAAAATCCCCATACACAACTTCAAGTTATTTTTATTTATTTTTTTCATTTGGACCCTAAAAGGATAACATATTCTAGTGTTTTCAACTCTTTTATTGACTATATTTAATTCTGCAAGCCATATCTTTATTCGTTCGCAAATGGAGAATACTTACCAAAAGCTTTATGTAGGTAGTAGGTATTTGATAATAAATAGCCTTTAGTTGACTATCACAGTAATTTGATTATTTAAAAAAGTAGGTAGTAGAGTGCTCCTCTTAAAATATTTTGACTTTTGTGGGCGCGTTGGAGTAACAAGTTGAAATTTTCACAGAATGAAAGTTTTATTATGTTAATTCAAAATCCCAAGGTAATACAAAATCAGAACGGGCAAAAGGGCACTATAATTAAAAATTGAGATTATTGCATGAACGTATAGAATATTAATTTATGACTGTTTTCATACATTTCGTAATGATAGATTAATTGAAAAAGCGTGTCAAAATGAGTGGAAAACAATCCTGATATCAATTCCAAATGGCCATTTTAAGCAGACACAAAAATAAAATAAAATATTTATTTTTGGCTCTGGAAAATTTTCAAAATCCTGACATGGTCATGAACAATTGCCCATATCTTTGGTAAATTTCAAGCAAATTGAAATAAATTACATATCATTGGAAAGAGCCCTAAATTCTCTATACATATGTGCAAAATTGAGTTTGATAGCTCGGATAGTTTTTGAGCACTTGAGCCTCAAAGTTGACTTTTAGTCCAAATTTTGTCAGAAATTTCAAACTCAATTTGCTCAAAAACTAGGAATCTGGAAATATTGTAAATTACAGGCCATTCAGAATTTGATAAAAACTACAAATTCTGGAAATTTTAATGCAATTTGCTCAACGGTTACCAAACAATTAAGGTTTGAATATTTTGAAATCAGAATTCAAAGGGGATACCCTTATGAAAAATTCGATTTTTTTATTTTTTAGTTTTGCTCAATTTTGACTTCATGAATCGATAGAGTCAACATGAGTGGAAAACAACCCATTTTTAGCAGACACAAAAATAAAAAGAAAATCCTATTTTTGGCTCTGGAAAATTTTCAAAATCCTGACATGGTCATGAACAATTGCCCATATCTTTGGTAAATTTCAAGCAAATTGATATAAATTATACATCATTGGAAAGAGCCCTAAATTCTCTATAAATCTGTGCAAAGTTGAGTTCGATAGCTCGGATAGTTTTTGAGCAATTGGGCCTCAAAGTTGACTTTTAGTCCAAATTTTGTCAAAAACTTCAAATTCAATTTGCTCAAAAACTATAAATCTGGGAATATTGTAAATCACAAGCCACATAGAACTTAATAAGAGCTATAAAAGCTGAATATTTTAATGTAATTTGCTCAACGGTTACTGAGCAATTGAGGTTTGAATATTTTGAAATTAAAATTCAAAAATATATAATACGTAAAAAGGGTTTTTCTACTACCGTGCGTAAAGTGCTCACTTTACGCACTATTCAGAAGATGTAAAATTTCACTTCACGTACTAGTGCGTAAAGTAATTCACTTCACACACTAGTGCGTGAAGTAATGTCAATGACATATGTCAACAGTGTCAATTAAGTATTTTTCTGGTAAATTACTTCACACACTAGTGCGTAAAGTGAAAATACTTCACGCACTAGTGCGTAAAGTATTTGGCTAAATCTATTTTTTAGACATTATTTGATTCGTAGTAGAAAAAATTTTGTATGCAATATGTGCGTAAAACACCTTTTTTCACTCATGTGATTGTCAAAATTCACATTCGTGAAAAAAGGTTCACTTTACACACTTGTTGCATAAATAAAACTATTATTGTATTGTACGATTGGCGAGAGAGAAAGGGAGCTACCGAGAAAAGTGAGATAGAAGAGTACTGGTGCAGCGGGAGAGCGGGCTGTCGCGGCTCGAAGAAAATTACTTGTTTTGAATTTAATTCTATATTTCCCTTAAAATTTGAGACAAAAATAATTATTCTTGCACACATATATTTTAGATACATGAAGCAAACTTTTTGGAAGAATATCAATTTTTGATTTGAGCCGTCATTTCGGAGATAATGCGAGGTGAATGCAAAAATCAATCGGATTTTGCTCAGGTTTGAACGGTGATATTTCAATTATTAGATTTATTTTACCGTAAGGGTCAATGTATTCGGCTTATTCCAAGCAATAATAAAAAATATAATTTGTACAAAAATATAAATAAATTTTATATGAGAACAGTCTTAAATTACTATTCTTTACGTTCATGCAATAATCTCAATTTTTGAATATACTGCCCTTTTGCCCGTTCTGATTTTGTATTACCTTGGGATTATGAATTAGCATAGTAAAATTGGTAAAACCTTCATTCTGTGCAAGTTTCAGCTTGTAACCCCGATGCGCCCACAAAACTCATTTTAAGAAGGCTTTAACTGTGTTGGGCACTCTACTATAGTTAAACAGGAGACAAACTGAGAATGCAACATGGAATTTAAAAAAAAGCTGTATTTTTTCTTGACACCAAACATAAAAAGGTCTTATCTCAGAAATAATTATGTATAGATTGGGGTCAGAGTGTGTTAAATTAGGAGATTATACCTAATAGTAACAATAATCCAACTTGGACAAAAGCCATACTAGTTGGGCATGGAAAAGGCAGTCTGATCAAGTGGAGAAACTTCAATGTCTACCACAAAAATACAAAATAAGTACCTATAGTTAGTTATCACAGGATCTTCAACATGAATCGTGTTCTAATGAAAATACTGAAGATTCTCAGAAGAGCGATACTATTATTTTGTTGTCGATAGTTGAATATTCTTCAGATATCAATTATTGGTGTGGGTTTACTTTCAATGAATTCTATAAGCCAGTTTCTTTCCACCAACACATCCAGCGAAGATGTTTGTACATTGTTCTCAGTCTCCAATGATTAAGTCCAGAAAGGAATTTAGTTCTTGATTACTGGCTATTAAAACATCTCAATTCTCCAGGGAACCCTTTTAAATTAACCGAAAAAGCTTATTATTGATTATTTTGTTTCTTCAACTCATTATGAGATGAACAAGTTATATTGTTCTTTTTCTTTTGGTTTGAACTGGTTAAAAAAATGTATTCTTTGTAATTATCTCTTCGCGATAATACAGTAGCTAGGTAATAAGTATCATGATTATAGCATTATTGAAAGACACATTAACGACAACTTTTGGGTTTTTTTGTTTTTTTGATGTTACCTATTTCTTTAATTCTTATTTTTAATTGGAAATAAACATCCCGGATTTAAAGTGGAATAATTATCAAGTCAAGTTAATTGAGTCTTAGGTAACAAAGTTTAGAATGTCTGTGGAAGTTGAAAATACAAATATGTGAGAGATTTTTTTTGAAATGCGTTTGATAATAATTAATTTTCTGTTTTGCTACTATTAAAATGCCTTAAAATTTATACATATATTGATTGGTATAGTTTTAAGGTATCTCTATATTTTTCAATAAAATACAAATTAGGTACGTGAAACATCTAAAGGCCGAAACCCACTAGCAACACGCCACGTCATGCTTCGCCACGCCACGCCATGTGACGAAAATGTATGCGTATATTCTTCCATTTATCTATATGTGCCGCGTACACACTTGCCACACGCGATACCACGTCATGGCACGCCACGCCATCCGTCCATTTGCACACAAACTGTCCCACGTGAACCTGTGTCACTTGGCGTGGAGTGGCGTAGTATGGCGTGACGTGTTGCTAGTGGGTTTCGGCCTTATAATCACATTCACAATGATCCTGACTACAACTGGTAAGAACAAAATTAAAAGGTATTCACCTGATTAGGTGAATGGATAATACATCTATGAATCAACTAATAGAATATACTAAATTTATTGAAAAAATGATAAGAGAAAACATAACATATTGTCAATACCGAGCCTGCTTGGGAAAACAACACACTATACATGATTTCAATAATGAGTTTATCACGAATCGATAAAACACAGGTCATAATAAATGCCGCGAACCGCAGCAAACGCAGACTTGAACCAGTGCAAATTCCTCTCGTTGGGAAAGCCCCTCTGGAATTAAGTCTCCCCAGTGCAAGTACCTCTCGATGGGAAAGCCCCTCTGGGTATCTTCAGCCTTATCGTTGTCCAGCGCAATTACCTCTCGTTGGGAAAGCTCCTCTGGACAAGGCGGTGGGTGACGATAACTAGCCGACAGTCCCCCAAGCAGCGTTGACGTGTGGCTCCCTATAAGGACCCCAGTGTTCGAAGGGTCATGCATCCTATAGGATTAGGAAAATGGAAAATATATATCTATATTTTTATATAACCTGAGCGAGTTTCTCTCCATCAACCCCCAAAGCTACAAACCCCCCATGTCACCCCCGTAAAGCGGGCAGTTGTGACAATAGTATAGAGCCCCTACAATAGTTGGTGGCTTGATTACGGAAAAAAGGAGGCAATATAG